GTGTGTGTGTGTGTGTGTGAGAGAGAGAGAGAGAGATTTTTCCAGCCATGCACTCAAAGAGATAGAGAGAGGCTACTTCCATCGATAGGATGAGCAAAATCGAAATGAATCTTCCACTAGAATATGGAAATATACACTTCTTTCCAGCCATGCACGCAAAGAGATAAAGGGAGGCTACTTCCATTGATAGAGAGAGAGAACACGTAAGTCTCCAACCTCGCGGTTGGCCTCATGCTATTTCCATCTACAGGATGAGCAAAATCAAATGAATCTTCCGCTAGAACATGGAAATATACACTGCCACACTTGTAGATTCAGTCCACAAACCCACGGTAAAAAAAGACCCCATTCATAAAACTGCGCTAACGGCAGCCTTTCGCCCAAGTTTTCCACACGATTGTCACACAATCGCGCCGCCCAAACTCCATTCACACAGGCCCGAACCAACCTTGGCCTGAACATTCGCCGCCAAACTCGAAAAAAAATTGTGGAAAAGCATTCTTGAGCACTCTCCGCCAGATTCAAAAAGGTAGTCGGGCGTGAAAAAAAGAACCACGGAAAAACGATGTTTGAACGCTCGCCACCAAACTGGAAACAAAAGACGGTCGTTGGGGCTTCCTCCACCACTTCCCACACGGGCCGTGGGCCCATTTCTTACTTTCCCAACACTGTGAAAGGGAGCACACATGGGACGCTCACACGAGACCCTCTGTTTCCTTTGTGGGAGGTACCTGCCAATTTGACTGGTATGTAATGACCCGCCATAACACAGACTGAGAACACTGCTGATTTCTGCAGTTCTGCCGATGGAATGGAGGCCTTGCTGAGATTCCCGCATTCTGCTGCGTTTTCTAAGTCTGCATGTGTGCGTGCTTGTTGACCTGAGTGCCTGTCTGAGTGCTTGTCGGCATGAGTGTGTGTGTGACCCGCAAGGGTACTTGCTTGTTTGGGAGGCCCGTACGGTCGGTACTTACCTGTGGCCGTGATATTGAGGGTTGCAGCAGGGAAAACACTCAAATAGCGGAGCCAGAGGCCCGCGACAGCGGAAAAACACTCAAGTAGCAGGTAGGCTGGTACCACACCCAGTAGAAGTAGATGTGCCGGGTACTCGAGGCCGAGCAGAAGAAGATAAAGTTGGCATTTTTAGAGGCCCAGTAGTGGTAGGCTAGGTCTAGGCTGGTACCAGTCCATCCAGTCTGAGTCTAGGGCATGTACGGGCAATATCAGAGTTTGCAATGATGCTTCCCTCCGAAAGGGAGGAGGTACCAGTTGCTTGGGAGGCCAAGCGGCCTGGAAGTCACCGCCAAGGAGGCAAGTAGGCCACTATATCTAGAGGCTGGCCGAAGAGACCAGCCTCAATCTTCAGTGTGCAAGTTTGGCGACACGCTGCTGGAGCGCTGGCTGGAGGAGCGCTGGCTGGAGGAGCGCTGGCTACTACAGCGCTGCTGGGAGGAAGAAGCCGGGAGCTTCCACCTTGGCTATGGTGGAGCTCTACCGGTAGGAGGAGGAGGGAGAAGAGGACCAACGAGGAGAGTGGCGAGGTACCTACCTGGCTTCGGTGGACACCATCTTCATCACCTTGATAGGCGCTGGAAGGCCCCAATTGGGGTAGTGTCGTACCAAGGGAGCTCGGGGCAGAGACAGGCATGGCGACCTAATAAGCAGCGGCATAGCTGCTTTGCATTGTCCAGTGCACAGGAAGGCAGCGACATAGCTGCTTTTGGATTGTCCTTTGGACAGGTGTGTTGAGTCCTTAGTAGTTCGCCATAGCCTCGGCCTACATGAAGAGGAAGGAGAAGGGTGGCCATGGCTATGGTGGGCCTCATGTTGTGCCTGCAGTAGAAGAGGGATTCAGACATTGATTCTGGTTCAGCCATTCAACATTATTATTGTTATTTCTTGTTTGAATAACAGGGGTGGAGATAAGGAGGAGCAGATTGGTTGGCGAAGAAGAAGAGCATTATCTTTGGTCTATGCTGGAGTACATCATGTTCTTCTTCTTTCTTTCTTCTTCTTCTTCTTTTTTCCCTCTCTCTCCTGTCAAGTTCATTCATTTCTTTTTGCAATTGGACGGCATTGTACTTTCTCATGAATGTATACTTCGAAATTGGCCAGGATCGTAACATTGGTATCAGAGCGGATTCTACTTGATGTCAAGAGTTGACTTTGTCGCCATAACCCTAAGTGGTAAGGGCTAACCACTTAGGGTTTGGGCTGGAAGTTAGTGTTAAGTGGGCCAGCGTGGTGAAGGGAAGTTGCTCCCACCTGGCAGGGCCGTGTAGGTTTGACATTAGACCTGGCCAGGTTGCTTGAGTGCATGTTTGTGGATGCGAGACACAAGGTGGGACTTCGTGATGCAATGGGAGAGAGGCGATAGTGAAGGGCACCTACAACTTGAATCTGGACTTCAAGGAAGATGAGGAGTGACTTTAGGGTACCCCTCAAGTTAGGCAAGCTTGGGGGTGGCAGCCATATCTGCACCTACGGACTGCAAGTTGCTACTTTGATCTTAAACATCGACAGGGGATCCGGCGTTGTACTTTGGGGTAGATGTTGACCCTCCTAGATTATAGGACACTAGTGTAGGGGATGCCAATTGGGTCAGGAGGACTATGTGAGAGGGGGGTGAGTTTCTTTCATCTCAAGAGCCCAGCCACTCAGGTATGTGTCATGCCACCAGGGTGCCCATGTGTGTGTGCATGGAATTGACTGCCTGCTGGGGTATTTTGGGTTTTACTTCCATCCTCCATAGTCTTGATCTTGTGTGAGGTGTGTGAACTACTTACCTGACGAGTGAATGAATGGAGTATCATGTGTGCCATGCTATATCTTTCTACAATGCTTTGTTTCTTTCATTCTGAACAGCTGTAGTCTGTAGGTTCTTTCTGGGGCTAAAAATCGTTTTTCAATTCGGTAGGGGTAGACAATAGGCCTTTGTGAAACTCTTGTTGGTTGGGACCTGGTTCTAACTCCGCTGGGACCATTTGGGACTCAATGGGACCAGGCCCGAACAAGAAGGGCCCCTCAGGCCCAAATCTGTTGACGTCAGTTACCTTGCTCTATTTGATTGGGACTCAAAGTTCATGCTTTCGGACCAGGACACTCCCTGCTGAGGGGATCTCAGCTGAGACGTTTGAAAGGACTTTACCGCACGATCCGCCACCTGACTCGCACCTTGGACACCACTCAATTCTCTCTTGCATTACATAGTACACTTTGAATTTGATTTGCTGCGTCTTCACGAAGCTAAATCCAACTAGGCTTGAGAGGACCTCATACGTAGTCGACCCAGACTGTGTGGTAGAATCAGATCTCTCTTATCTTCATTTTTTTTTATTGTTTTGATTGCTTTCCATTCCAAATGAATTGGTGCTCCGGCTAGGAGTTCTTTCTAATTGCTTTCAAGTTGTTTTTTTCATTGGGTTCGTTAAATGCCTGCGTCTACCTGATCACAAACGAGAGAGAAAGAGAGAAGAGAGAAGCTTCCAAGTGTCGCTCTTGAGGGGGTGAGGAGAGGGAAGAGGAGTGCTCGTCCTAGAAGTGTGAGAACGTAAGCACCTCTCTTGAAAGACTTGTTGACACCCTCGTCCTCTATCATGGCATCTGCAGGAGAATGGACGCTGCAAATGGACGCTGCCCCTGAGGCAAAAAAAGCGCAGTACCGGTTCTTTTATGAAAAAGCGTTGAAGAGGGAAGAGGAAGAGAAGGAGAAGGAGAGGGGAGACAAAGTAAGGACTCATGAAGCCGTCTTCAGTACCGTGCCCGCCGCCTTAACTAATGTTGAGGTGGAAGAGAAGACCGTCCCACTCCTCAGGGCTTCAATAGATGCCGGGGCTGTTGAAAACCATACCGACCAACTCGCAAACGTGTTTGATGAACTAAAGAAGTCGCGAGAGGATATGGCCCTGATGGCGCACCAACACCGTGACCAGCTGCAACATTTTGCTAACAAGCAGCCAGCCCAAACTGTCCTTCCATCTGCTTACCCTGCTTCTAGTGTTGCGTGTCAGTCCGTTTGTGCCCCTTTAACTGTGTCTTCTTCTTCTTCTTCTTCTTCTCTGAGTGTGGTCAACAGCCTATCTGGATCTGCAGCAGGTCCAAACCTCGTTGTTGCTGCTGCTACTGCTGCTGCTGCAGTGTCAACTGGCAGTGCAGGGCATTCTAGAACTCTTGCAGCCCTGAATTCGGGCCCAGCAATCGCTGGTCCCAGCTGCAGCTTTCCCTACGTGGACAGGAAGGCAGCACATATTTCGTCTAAGTATGACGGAAAAGACGACATCGAATCTTGGATGAGCTCCATGCGATCCTACTTTGATGTGCGAGGGACACCCCCGGTTACTCAATCGTTGGTCCTAGGGACCAATGTGGAGCCCGCCGTAAGGGGCTTCTTAGAAGTCCAAGCTGTACAGTCAGGCTATAAAAGAATAGACCTAGCCAAATGGCTGAAGGCTATGCCAAGAGCCACACTCGAGGATCTCTTGATCAAGCAATATGCTGATCCGCATGCTACAGCCAAAGGTAGACTCAAGCTTGACAAGCTCGAGCACAACAAGTGGACCAGCACCATGCATAGTCTGCAACAGTACGTTAGTAAACTTTTTGCTACTCCTGATCTGGAGATGACTGCGCAATCTTGCTTGGATGTGATTAAAAGCACAGTTCCCTCTACTGTAACACATCGCCTGGGGCTCAGACTCATAGCAGATACAAATTGGCTTTCCCTCATGCGGGATTTAGTCGAGCTCGAGGCACAAGACCTCCGGGGTGGATCGGGTGGCAAAAAGACCACCAGCCACAAACGGTTTCCGGGCAGCAACCGTTTTGCAGCGCACGATCAACTCGATGTTGACGTGGAGACCTTCGCAGAAGAACCTTCGCTTGGTGACGATCAAGAGCAAGACTGCGAGGCATCTTGCTCTTCGTCAGCCCATGAGTCCAATTATGTGGATGATGATGAATGCGAGGCCAAGGCCCCGATGAGCCCCTTTTGGCTCTGTTATGCAGCACGTCGGTCGCCCTAAGTGAAGGCAGGCTCGACGAGGGCCTGAGGGTCCCTATTTCGATCACCACGCAACTGTGGAAAATTCAGGCAGTTGGGCAACGCCAGATGGTTGAAGAGCACCCCGGCCCAGGCCGCCTGTTTGCATGTATGGAAGCCAGACCCTGGGCTGGATACGGGATAAGGGCCAAACACAGGCCGAGGACAGTTGGGCACATGTAACCACCACAGGCCTTGAGCCTGATTCGTTTGGACTGGGCCTCAGCCTACCGGGGCCTACCGAAAGCTTCTTGGGACAGGCCCAGCGCAGCACCAGGAAGGCCACTTCCATATAGCAAAGGGCCTGCCTCCACATTGGACATTCGAGTGCTCGCTGCATGCTGCGCAAGCGTTGCTGCGCTAAAGCTGGCCAGCGCTCACACGCTCACGGGCGAACTGGGAGGAGCAGGCAGCCATAGCCAAGCTGCGTTGTTATATGCTGGATGGAGCGCAGGGTGGTCCTTGGGTGCATGTGGCATGTGTGTGTTGGGGAACAAGGTTGTGAGTGAAGCGAGAGACATACCTGGTGCTGGAAGTGTGCAGCATTGGCCGCTATCTGCTCGTACTTTGGTTGAGTTGTTGTCGTCATCTTCGACATTGTAGTCTAGGCTAGATAGGATCTGCCATCTGTAGTCTGGGACGCCGAGCGCCAGATAGGATATCAACATTGGTTCTTCGTTGATGATGATGATGATGAGACTATTCCAACATTGTCAATTATGAGCTCTTGGTGTGTTCTTATTTGGTGAAACTCGTGATACAATTTTGTTGTTGGTTCGAGGTCACGACTATCTGGTCTTATGTGTATGGTGCTGTTTGATTTCTGAGGTTCGCTATCGCTCACCTTCTTTGCAATTTGGTATCGGAGTTGTGGTACGTTGCGCTCATTTGGCGCTCGTCTTCTGCCTATTCGGTACATACATGCGGTCTGCTTGGTGAGTGAGGTCGTAGGTGGTGGGTAGTGAGGAGGGCGGAGACAAGGTGTGGCGACCCAGGAGGTGAGGGGATCGCCAGGAAGGCTACGGTGTGTATATTGGGTGTTCGCAGTGTGATGAGAACTATCTGGTGGTTGATTGATGTTGAGGTGGAACCGCGAGATACTGCTGGTTGTGCCGATGCAGTGACTGGTCATCGCAATCGCCATCAAGTCATCTGGTGAGAATATCTGTGGTTGGGGGCAGCTATAATGAGGTACGTTGCTCTTAACCTTATCTACCTTCTTCATCACTTCTTACCGTGAGGTTGTGAGTTCCTTCTTGAGGTGTCATTTGCGCTCAACCTTGAGAGTCGGCATTGTTCACGTGGAGCATCTGGAAGGAGTGGGCGGTGCTTTCTGAAGGGCCCTGGACGGAGCACTAGGTCATGGTCACCATGCCAACCCACCGGGAGTAGAGCACGCATGCTTTGTTGCTTTGTCCTTGTCTGCTTGCTGCGCTCATAGAAGGGGTACTGAAGGGCCGGCCAGCCCTATGGGAGAGACGAGTATCGGGCGTCTATAAATAAACACCGGCTGGGGAAACCGTTGGCTGTGATTGTCGTCCTGCTGCGACGTAAAATAATTCCTGATGACACTTGGGGGCGGTCGTTAAATTGTCTCTGGATCAGCCAATCGGTGTAAGGCTCGCTGCACGCGAGGATAAACACAGTGCAGGGCTGGCCAGCTCAGCAGCTACTCGGGGCACAGGGGTGGGCCGTGTGCACACCTTTGACTACGCACGACAAACCGGATTGCTCAGGGACACTGACGTCAAGTGACAATCAAGGGGAAATGGGGAAGGGGTAGATTCCAGGTGATAAGTTTGAGTAAGATCCCATGCTGCAAACATACCCAAACAAATGATCTTATTTTTATTTTGATTAGTTAGATGTACTGCCATTGACATCTGACAGACAGCATAGTTTAGAACTGATTCTGTTCATTGTGCTTTCTGTTTTTGAACTAGTCAAAGTAGAATAGTATTGTTTGGAGGAATCTGAACTCACCTGTTCAACCCGAATGTATAGTCTTTGACACAGCCACCAATTACTTATTTATTTATTCTTAATTGGTCTGTACATTATGCTGCGGTAGGCATCTTGAGTGTCCTACTGCAGGCTGTGTATAGTGTTGTAGCCTATGAGCGACAGGGAGGACACTAGAGAGGACAACCAGATCTTGCGATCGGCCAGACGCCCAATTGCTCATTTGGCATAAGGACCAGAGGGCGACAGAAACTTGTTCCGCCAGCGGAGAGAGAGGCAGCAGCAACAGAGAAGAGCTAGGGCCGCAGAGGAAAGCAGGGCATTCGCAAGCGAGGCCGCTACTTCAGCAGCCATGGCCACTGCAGCGCAGCAAACTTCTCAGACTCGTAGTTCAAGAATTGCGGGGTCAACGATCACACAGACCGTGAGTCAGTCCACTGGCGTTATGGCAAGCCAGCCAATACCCTCAAGGAGGTTGCCATACAGCGAGCAGCGATTCCGGAGGCACAACTACAACAGGCGTTAGGAGAGATTAAGGCACAGAAAGAGAAAATGATTAGAAGAGCCAGGATGCAGCGGAGGCAAGCGGACGTTAGTGAGTTAGAGGAGATGGACCGGACACACATGAGTGATGATGTGAGGACCATACGGTCCGTCCTGCTAGATGTAGTTGAAATGCAGGACCACTAGACGGCTCTCCTTCAGGACATTCAGGCGAGTCTGGCCGTATTGGTCGGATGAGCGCAGACTGCGCCATCGCCGTCCGCGCCGGGTGCCTGGCCCGTTGCACAACCTCCTCCTTTTGTCCCACCGGTGACTGGGGTATCCCCATATACGGCTCCAGCATCAGTCCAGCCCGTTTCCCTAGGTATGCCCTTGACAGGCGGGTTCTCAGCAGGTCCTAGTCTACAGGTTCCAGTTCAGCCAGTGTATTCCCAGCCTCCGTTGCAGATTGCGGTTACAACAAAACCTGCTCTTTCGCAGCCTGCACAGCTGCAGAGTACACAGCCCCAACAGTCAGTGCAGCAGCCTGCACCACAGGGTTCACAGCCCGGAGTGATGCAGGGACAGGGACAAACTCAGTGGGTATCAAAGACGACCATCGTCGCTCCTAAACCCTTCACAGGGGATAAGAGAGGCGAAGACCATGACACTTGGTTGAGGCCAGTGCCGGTCTATGTCAAGTGTAAACTTACCTTGCCGCACGAGGAAGTGCTTGTGGCTGCCTCCTATCTAGAGGGGAGTGCAGCACGATGGTTGAGTGGTTTAGTGCAACTACAGGGGTACGGTCATGACTTCCACGCTTGGGCAGCCCACCAGAAACTGCAGGAATTTCTCAAGATGGTGGAAGACAGGTGGCATGATCCTCTGGACGCCCAAAACGCCACTCACGCGATCCTGACACTGCACACGAGGCAGCTCCAAGTCAGTAAGGGAAGGCACTGGCGTTGTAGAGCGTCTGATCTGTGTCCCTGGGGTGCGCTATGACCCCCAGGTCTTACTCACCTCCTACCTGAGACGCTTTCCCATGCCGCTCTGGAATCGGTTGGTAGGTGAGGCCAACATCAATATGCACAACTTTCCCTCGTTCAGAAAGAAGGCCCTAGACCTGGAGGCAAAGATAGGGCATGGACATAATCCCACGACGGATGGTAGGAAGAAGACACTGCCTCCCAACTGGAAGGCAAAGGGCCGCATTATGTTCGTCGACAACGATGGTTCCACCATCGAGTTGGACGATGAGTTCCAGGTGGGAGTTGGTTCAGAGGCAGGCAGCGTAGAAGCTTCAGAGGAGTCGCTGCCGTAGCTCAGAAAGGTAAGCCGACCGGTAGATGCCGAGGGGGTTCCCGGTCAAGGAGTCAAGTTGACCCCAACGCTCCTCCATGGGAGAAAGCGGGTCTTACCGAGGACGTGTGGAGAGACCGGTACAGCCGACAAGCTTGCATTCGTTGTGGCCAATATGGCCATAACCAATTCAAGTGCCATAACAAAAAGGTGACCGAGAAGATCCCGCCTACAATGAGGGCAGGCGGTAGGATCCTCCGCTTCCGTCGGTAGCAATGTTGCCAGCACTTCAGGCACTGCTCCGGGAAACACGTCGGGCCAGTAGGAGTAGTAGTTGTTCCTGCTAGGGTCGAGGTGGTGGATACACCCTCACCATCTCGAAAGATGGCCCAAGCTACTGACTTCATCGTCGTCCCTCAAACACGTTCAGACCAATCGAGTCTCTGTTCGATGAATGTGTTTGAGTCCTTAGAGGAGCTAGAGGAGTGGTCTAGATCAGACCCGCTCGCTTCCTGGACGACATTAGTCAAAGCCCCTAAGGGTGAGATGTTCGTCAGCGAGGTGGTCATTGGCGGTCGCAAGGCCGGGGCCTATTATGACACTTGCTCGACTAGAAACTTCATCAGTCGTGTGTGCGTTGAAAGGGTGCGCTTACAGAGGCAAGTGCAGCGCCTGAGTCGACCAGTGGAGTCGACCTGTGCCAACAAACAGCGCATGGTAGTCAACGACTACCTCCAAGATGTAGAGTGTTGTTTCCCGTACGCGGGAGGGGAATTGAGACATCGCGTCTCGTTCCTAGTGAGCGATGAACTCCCCATGGATATGTTGTTAGGTATGTACTACCTCTCTGTGGCACAACCCGGTAAGACTGGGAACGAAAAGTGGTCAAACACACTTTGCCAGGTGGAGGGACCGCCAGATTACGTAAGTTCAAAGCTAGTAGTCTGCTTGAGTCCTATGGATGGATCTGTGTGGCCGCGTTCTACAATTATTATAAGCAAAATCAGGAGGAGGGTATGTATCTAGTTTATGTCTCTGCTGCAGGCAAGCTGGTGAAAATGTCGCCGGAGATAGAGGGAGTAGTCGCTAAATACCCTGATCTATTTGAAGCGCCGAAAGGGGTTGTTGAGAGGGAGGTCGTCCACGCGATAGAGATTATACCGGCATCTAGCATCCCAAAGGGTAGGATCTATCGGATGTCTCCAGGCGAGCTTGACGAGCTTCGCCGGCAACTCAAGGAACTCGTAGAAAAGGGGTGGATCCGGCCGAGTGTTTCTCCTTATGGTTCACCAGTCTTATTTGTACCAAAGAAAAAGAAAGGAACACTTAGGATGTGCATTGACTATAGGGCCTCAATGCCATCACTTTAAAGAACAGAGAGCCCCTACCGCGCATCGATGATTTGCTAGATAGAGTGCAAGGGTGTCGGTACTTCAGTAAGATAGATCTGAAGTCCGGGTACCATCAGATTGCAATCCAGCCTGAGGATCAACACAAAACCGCATTTCAGACCAGGTACGATCTGTACGAGTTTGTGGTGATGCCTTTTGGCCTTTGCAATGCTCCTGGCACCTTTCAGCACACTATGAATCGAATATTTCATGACTACTTGGATAAGTTTGTCATCGTGTACCTCGATGACATACTTATTTTTAGTAAGACTGTCGAGGAGCACGTTGCGCACTTGGACAAAATCCTTAGTCTTCTGCGACAGCACAAGTTCAAGATCAACGGTGAGAAGTGCGAGTTTGGCCGTACCCGTGTCTTGTACTTGGGTCATGAGATTTCCGCGGAGGGATTGAAGCCCGATGACGCAAAGGTGGCCAGCATTCATGATTGGCCACGTCCTCAATCTGTGACTGAGACGAGATCTTTCTTAGGGATGACAGGCTACTATCGAACTTTTGTTAACTATAGCATAGTGGTCGCCCCTTTGACTGATCTGACCCGCCTTGACACCCCATGGGGGTGGACAGACGAGTGAGAGGCTGCTTTCAGACATCTGAAGCATGCGTTGACGCACTACGAGGTCTTGAAACTTCCTGATCCTGATAAACCGTTTGTAGTAACCACGGACACCAGTCAATATGGCATTGGTGCCGTACTTGCGCAACAGGAGGGGAAAAAGTTAAGGCTTGTCATGTACATGTCTAAGAAGATGCCGTCTCAGAAGTTGGCCAAGCCTCTGACCAATTGGAGGCACTATCTCCTTGGGAGGTTCTTCATCCTCAGGGGTTATCATCAGACCTTGAGATGGATGAGAACTCAGTCGGAGCTCTCTGACACTCTGAAGCGTTGGATCGAAGTCATTGAGCAATATGACTTTGACCCGCAGTATCTGAAAGGGGAGTACAACAAGGTTGTTGATGCCTTGTCGCGTAGACCTGATTTCTCAGGTGCGCTGATTACTGAGTTCGACCTTACGGACGATGTTACTCGCTCTTTGGTGGAAGCCTATCGTGAGGACCAGTTTATGTCTGAGATCATACGCAAACTTGAGGCGAAGGATAAGAAGACTTCTGCCGAGTTTGAGTTTATCAACGGGTTGTTGTTCCTTGAGAAGGAAGGGAATAAACGTTTGTGTGTCCCAAATAGAGAGTCTTTGCGTAGTTTGTTTTTAGGTGAGTGTCATGATGCCACCGGCCATTTTGGGTATAAGAAGACAACAGCCAATCTGCTGCAAAGGTTCTGGTGGCCCACGATGATGCGAGATGCCCAGCTGTACGTGCAGACTTGTCAGGTCTGTCAAAGGGACAAGCCACGTACTTAGGCTCCTCTTGGGCTCCTGAAGCCCCTTTCGATTCCGGAAAGGCCCAGTGAGAGCTTGTCCATGGACTTCATGGATACGCTGGTCACCAGCAGGGATGTTATCGTGGATAGATTTAGTAAGTACGCGGTTAATTGCCATGCCGGAAACAGCGAAGACTGAGTACGTGATCAGATTGTTCAAGGACAATTGGGTCAGAGATTTTGGTCTGCCTAAGTCAATCGTGAGTGACAGGGATGTTAGATTCACCAGTGAGTTGTGGAAGGAGGCTGCTGCCGAACAGGGAACGCAGCTGCAAATGACTTCGGGTAATCACCCCGAGGCCGATGGCCAGGCTGAACAATTGAATCGCATTGTCCAACACCTGTTGCGGCATTACATCAAGCCCAATCAGGTCGACCGGGACGAGAAGCTTACCCTCATCGCCAGTCTGTATAACAATGTTGTGCACAGCGCCACCGAAGTGAGCCCTAACAGTCTGCTACTGACCTTCAAACCTTGACTGCCTCTAGACTTCTTACTACTTGAAAATCATTCAACTGCTGCACCCGGTACTTCAGAATTTGCATACCGATATGAGCAGAAGATGCAGCAAGCAATGAAACAAATGCAGAAGGCTCAGGCGGCAATGATAGAATATGAGAACAAACATCGCCGCCCGTCTACTTTTCAGATTGGGGACAGAGTCAAGGTTAAGTCCTCAGAACTGGGACAGGAGCACGGGATTTCCGGCAAGCTCATGCCTCAGTACTTTGGACCATGGGAGGTCTTAGACATTGTCGGGACTGATCCGGATGGACCGTCTTATGTAATTCGGATCCCTGGTCATGTCCACACTTATCCTGTATTTCACGCCTCTAAGCTTGCACCTTCCAAGGAAACTGATCAGTTTCCCTCTCGTCGCTCAATGCTGCCCCCAACCATGGATGGAGAGGTCAACATCGATGACATCGTCGAGCATAAGGAAATGCCAGTTCCAAGACCGACAGGCAGGGGACGTCCTCCGAAACTGAAGCTGCAATACCGGGTTCAGTTTCGACATCACACGGATCCAAAGGAGGATCGATGGTTTACCAGGGAGGAACTGATGCAGACCGCTCCTCAGGTTGTTGCCCAATATGAAAAGTCTCTGCAGAAGGGATAGCGCCAGATTATCGAAGACTGAACTTCTCAACGGACTATCAAAGTTATGGATGGGGGAATGCGAGGCCAAGGCCCCGATGAGCCCCTTTTGGCTCTGTTATGCAGCACGTCGGCCGCCCTAAGTGAAGGCAGGCTCGACGTATTTCGGTCACCACGCAACTGTGGAAAATCCAGGCAGTTGCGCAGCGCCAGTTGATTGAAGAGCACCCAGGCCCAGGCCGCCTGTTTGCATGTATGGAAGGCAAGCCCTGGGCTGGATACGGGATAAGGGCCAAACACAGGCCGAGGACAGTTGGGCACAAGTAACCACCACAGGCCCTAGGCCTGATTCGTTTGGACCGGGCCTCAGCCTACCGGGGCCTGCCGGAAGCTTCTTGGGACAGGCCCAGCGCAGCAGCAGGCAGGCCACTTCCATATAGCAAAGGGCCTGCCTCCGCATTGGACATTCGGGTGCTCACTGCATGTTGCGCAAGCGCTGCTGCGCTAAAGCTGGCCAACGCTCACGCGCTCACAGGCGAGCTGGAAGGAGCAGGCAGCCATAGCCAAGTTGTACTGTTGTATGCTGGATGGGGCGCAGGGTGGTCCTTGGGTGCATGTGGCATCTGTGTGTTGGGGAACGAGGTTGTGAGTGAAGCGAGAGACATACCAAGTGTTGGAAGCATGCGGCATTGGCCGCTATCTGCTCGTACTTCGGAAGAGTTGTTGTCGTCATCTTCGACATTGTAGTCTAGGCTAGATAGGATCTGCCATCTGTAGTCTGGGGCGCCGAGCGCCAGATAGGATATCAACATTGGTTCTTTGTTGATGATGATGATGAGACTATTCCAACATTGTCAAATATTAGCTCTTGGTGTGTTCTTATTTGGTGATGCAATTCTGCTATTGGTTCGAGGTCGCGACTATCTGGTCTTATGTGTATGGTGTTGTTTGATTTCTAAGGTTTGTTATTGCACATCTTCTTTGCAAATCAATGAATGCCTTTAAAAAGACTGCCTTCAAAAAACGGACCGAAGAACGTAGTGAAGAACAACACTAATACCATTCTCCTCCCCAGGGAGAGAAGATTCCACCCAAACCAGAGGATCCTGCCACAAAACCATGGGTAGATCTCCGGATTAGTGAAAGTGAGTGGAAACACAGGGTGAAGAAAGGGTTTTGCTTGCATTGCACCAAAACGGGACACTCAGTCCAACACTGCTTTAGCTTGTTGCAGGGAAACCAGCAAAGGGGGTAGAGAACACATCAGCACACTCTACAAACGGAGAGGCTGAACATGTAAGTGCAGATCCTTCACCGGATTTGGATCCTACTCAACAAACCTCTCTTCAAACCCCATTTGATGCTGATTCCAAGGCTGAGAAATTGCACATCCTCTAGAAGGAGCCCTGGGTGGAGTCGGAAGAAATTGACTTTCATGATCTCTTGTTCCGCTAGGCACATGAAGCAAGAACACGCGCAAGGGAAAACAAAGTTGATCTTCTTGAAACTCCACATTAACGGCCGTTACATCTGTGCGTTGGCTGATTGTGGCGCAACCGCCAACTATTTCTCACCGCATGGCATTCGTAAGGCACGCTTGGGGATGACCCAAGTGGGCAACCAAGAGGTTGTCAAAGGTGTGCGCACTACCTTTGACACAAACCACACAATCATGCATGAGTTGAACTTCTATATCCGTGATAAGTGCCCCTTCGACGCGGTTATTGGCTTGGGCTGGTTGTAGGCCCAATGTCAAAGAACCACGTGGAAGGACTCGCGATTCTTGGTCAAAGATGCCATGGGAATCGAGCGTCCAGTCCTCTTGAATGAGCAGCATGAGTCCCGAGTGACTTTTCTCAATGCAATGAAATTCTGCAAAAAGTGGTGCAGGCGCAAAGTTAATTAGCAAATGTATATAGTGTAATGACCCGCCAAAAACACAGACTGAGAACACTGCTGATTTCTGGGATTTGCCGCTGGAATGAATGCCTTGCTGAAATTCCCGCATGGTGCTATGATTTCCATGTCTGTGTGTGCGTGCCTGTTGGTTTGCATGCCTGTCTGAGTGCTTTGTCCGTTGAGTGTGTGTATGACCCGCAAGGGTACTTGTTGGTTGAAGGGCCCCGCAGGGCCGGTACTTACCTACGGCCTTGACTTTGAGGGTTGCAGGGGGGAAAACACTCAAGTAGCAGGTAGGCCGGTACCACTCAAGTCGTGGTAGGGGTGTCGGGTACAGGAGGCCGAGCAGAAGAAGACAAAAAGTTGGCATTTTTAGAGGCCCAGTAGCGGTAGGATAGCAGTAGGCCGGTACCAGTCCAAGTAGCCCGGGTCTAGGGCCTGTACGGAGGATAGCAGAGCCTGCAATGATGTTTCCCTCCGAAAGGGAGGAGGTAC